TCTGACAAGATTCTGCTAATCAGTTTCTGTCTTTCTAGTTTGTGCGTTGCGATGTGTGCAAATCTTGCCACCTATGCTCTGCCTCTCTTTTTACCTTTGGTTATAGAAAAGGCTTTGAAGAAAATAATTTATATAGATAGAAAGTAACTGTCAGGTAAGTTTTGTGTGGATACAGAATAATTATTTTCATGTTACTCATTGAAATTATGTGAATAATAGGTATCAAATAAGCATCATGTGTGAGTCTGCAGAAAATCTTTCAGCCAATGGCTCTAGACATGTTGCAATGTTCTAGCAAAAACTAAAATTAGGAAGAGGAAAAAGAAAAAGAAAAAAAAAAAAAAAAGGGAAAGGACCGGTCCCTTTGAAATCCAGAGTAGAGAGGTTCATTGGTAGACATGAGCATTGGGGTAGCAGATACACACATCAGAATTACTGCATCCATGTGAGGGATAGCGAGGAGCTGCACTCTTCATGTTACCAGGAGCCAGGTGAACCTGCTTTGATCAAGTCTTGAACTAAAACTTTTCCTGACTGTTCCTGTTCAGCAGTGCATAGATTTTGAACAACAGTCTTCCCAAGTGGCTGCTTATTGCCATGAGGTGAAAGTAACTCATCATTCTCTAGAATTTGTGCATTATTTCAGTATTGCAGGGATTTGGTAGTAATCAGTTTACTGTCACCCAATAATGAATTTTGCTAACAAACTTTGTAATGTGGTCTCCCACTGTTTGGAGAGACTGTATTATCGCCAGGCACATAGTTTGAGCATTTTTTGGTTTTTGTTTTTTTTTTTTCAGGAGACAAAGATAAAATTATTATACCAGAATCACTACAAAACTCTGGAGAAAACACCACATACTTCTCTTGCAGGGTGATGAAAGCTTATATGGTGATGCTGGCTGCAGTGTCTTATCAGAAGAGATCAGAAACAGACAGAAACTTTCACTTGTACTCAGTAATGTTAGTTACTGATGGAATGGGACAGGAAACGTCTTTTCATGTCCAGTGCAAATGCTAGGGATTTCAAATTAAATTTGTCTATTAATTAGAGGGTTGAACATTGAAATTTTTTGTTAAAAGTTGTTTTTTAACTAGTTCAGGTCAATTGACTCATGTTGTTTATGTAATTTAAAACCACATTATTTAAACCAATTTTAAAACCATAATTAGATTTTTTTTTTTAAAATAAAAGTTGTTTAAACTAGAAGACATTCTTTGAAATGGAGAAAAACAGTCTAAAAAATCAAATTTGTCAGAAGCGGAAATATTCAAAGTTCTGTTCAATATTGACAAATGGGTTTCAACAGACAAAAACTTCACTTAAAAGCTGCCCACCCATTTTATTATGGATAGAAACACAACTCTGGTAGGTCTTTTCCAGTGCAGTGGACTATAGGATGATGTCTCAACATCATTTGCTGCCTCAAAACATGTAATAAACTATCAGATCTGCAGTGACTAGGTTCTGCAGCACTGTTCTGCTTAATTTAAGATTTTTTAGCAAAGTGCAGAGTTGAACTGATATATTTGTGTGTATATATAAATATATAGCAAATTTTATTGGACAGATGCTTTCACCTTATATATACAAGCTTATCTATAAAGCAGATCATAGCTCACAGTTGATGTAATCTCCAATTGTCGCTGGCAAAACAGGTAAGGTTGTACACAGCCTTGAAGATGACTTCAAGATAATTTAGGATAACGACTACCTGTCTTGAAAAAGAGATTTTTCTGATCTATGGTATTTCTCTTCTTACAAATTTTTTTAAAAGGTGGCTCTTGATAATTCCCTTTGGAATAGATAGCAATCAACAGACAGGCTCCATACGAATGCCTTTTTCCCTAAATAGCATGAAGAATTGTTTTCTGCAAAAGATCTCACCACTTGGTCAAGCAACAGATGCTCATTTCTGCACCTAGGAGCTTGTGCTGCGCTCTCTGCCTTACCATCTCCTCCTAAACTGCCGGGGCTCTGCCTGGCTCCGCTCCCAAGCGCTATCAGACACCCTTCCAAATCCAGTGTCGCCTTTACAGACCTCTGTGTTCTGATGTAAGCAGTCGGGCTCTACCTGGTCCCTGAATGCTTTTCCGATCTCTTGAACTGTCTGTTTACTTAAGACATGCAGCATTATTCCAAGATTTGCAGTAGTCCCCATTCTATTTAGAAGAGTGAATATGTCAGTTAAAGAGGTAAGTTATTTAAATAGCTAATGCATTTGAGAAATGCAGTCACTGTTGAAACAGTAAAAAAGGCAAAAAGAGAATTTGCCAGGAAGTGTGCAATTTTTAATATGAAATCCATGATTATCTTATCAGTATTTGCTTAAAGGCAGAGTTGGCACAGTATTAAAATGTCACACAGTTTGAAGAGCAGCAGAATCCCATAGCTGCTTGTATTACAGGCTGTATACAACAGAAAACTATAAAACATATTCATGCCGTACTAAAATGTTTGGAAACCTCCTGCAGCAGCATAGATGGAAATGTTTAAATAAGACGTTACATTAAGATGTCATTAAATAGAAAAGCAAGGAACAGTACAGCAAACCCCTGATGTGTAAGTAATCAAATCTTTACCATTCATGCTAAAATTTAGTAGATTTTTTTAATTACAAATGTTAAATAGGTGCCAGTCTGACTGCCACACCAAAATATAGATTGTAAAACAAGAGAGTTAATAAAACTTCAAATGTTTTTAAGGAATTATCCACTTCCTCTGTTCAAGTGAGAACTAAAATGTAATGCAGACATATACGTAAGATAGGAAAATATTTCTTCATGCAAATCGTATAGTCATCTTAATTCATAATTTAAGAATGCCTATTAAGAGGAGGAGGAGAAGGCTGTATACATTGGGGGATATCCTGTATAACTGTATGCTCAGCTTTATTTCAGTCTGTGATTGAAATATATGAAATGCTAATTTTTATATAGGTGGTTGTGGTTTGAAATTTATATATATGTACAATAGTATGTGGACATATTAATTAGTAATTCCATATCCATTTTGAGTAAAAGAGCAAAAACCATGATACTCAGCTTGACTGTGCTATCAGTAGTGTTAGTTAAACTACAGAGAGAGATAATGGGGAAATAAAACTCATAAATCCTACTGTATAGAAGAGGGATAAGATACTAATTTATTTTTTCCCCCAAATCAATTAATTCTTAGTAACAACACAGTAATTATTAAAATAGCCATTATTATAAGTCTAAAATGAGAGTAATTGCAGAGGTTTCATGTAAAGCTAAGAAACGAGATGTTAATCTGGAACGAAGAGTTTAAATACGGAATTATGATATACTTGGCTTTCTGTAGTGTAGCTGTCAGGCTCGGGCAGTTCGCTGGTCAATAGTGACATTCTGTGTGTCAGTGAACAGACTCTCCTGATACCTTAACCTGCAGTTCACACATTACTGAAGCTCCAACTGTCGAACATTCAAGTCCCTTGGTACTACTGCAGCTTCCAGACTCTCCTGACTGGCTCATGTTTCATTCTTTGGCAATTTGCCCTAATGATATCCCTCAGGAGCTTTCAGACCCTCTTCTTTTCCATATTTAATCATGTTATATTAATCTGAGTGCTGAGCAAACTATGCTGCACAAATTGTAATTGTCCGTGATTTCTGCTGTGATGGTCTTACAATTATTTTCTTTCATTTTTAGTGTAAAAATACATGTACAAAATTGCAGTATAATTTTTATTTACAAGTCTAAGTGTCCAAGACAGCCAGGGTGTGAAAGCTTTAACTGCTGATCTGTTCCACAAAGAGGTTTTTTTCCTGTACAATCCATAATGTTTTAGCACTTGCTGTATGGACAGGATTTACATTTTATCTTTAGCTCTTCGTTTTGTTACTGTAAAAGTACACATCTAATAAACAGCACTATTATCAAGTTAACCTCAGATAGTAATTTTGTTGCAATATAAAACATTAGGACAGTCTTTTTCCATGAGCTTCGTGTCTTCTACGTGCGGCATTCCCTTTTTAATTTTTTTTTTTCTTTATTTTATGAGGTTTGTAGTGTTTTATTTGCTGGATATAGGCTACCTCAGTTTGAACACAGTCTTGATGTTTTCTCATTCTGTTGTAGCTCTGTGGCTGCATAATAAAATAAATAAATTTGAGTGACTCCCTGATAGCAAAGTGGTATTTGATAGGTCAAATTTGAATTCTTTAGGTATTGCAGATTATTTTGTTCACTGAAGGAGTGAACTAGACCATGTTTCTAATCAATTCCATAGATATTTTTTTTTGGGGGGGTGGGTGGGTGTTTTTTTGTTAGTTTGCTTGTTTGTTTTAGAAAATCAAGTTTTGAATGGTAAGCAGATTGTAACACCACCTTTCTTGGTCAAGGAGTCCTTCATTTTCTGGTGATGCTAGTGCCAGACTTGCTAGTCTCTGCTTTGGGAAGGGAGTTTTGGAAAATTGTAATAAAGTTGCTTTGCTGTCACAGGGAATGTTCACTTCAGATTTTTTTAAAGGTAGTTTGGAAATCAAGATAGTGACACAAATAGAAATTAATCCTGCTCCTGAGTTTAATGCTCTTCTGCGGCTTCATGCAGGTTCAGATCAATTCCAGTTGTTCCAAATAGCAGAAATGTGTACTAAAAGACTCCCATGAGTCTGTCCCGCTCAACGGAGCTGAGTGCAGCTGGGATGCGCTCGAGTTCTGTGTGTTCGTGGCAGTACCCATGTGTGATAAACGTCAAGTAGTGCATGTTTATTTTCTTTTTTTCAAGGAAATAGCTGAGCAGGGCTAACTTTTAATTGACTTGTTAGTCTGACTTCTTGCAAATGTTGTACTTTTATACGTATATCAGAGTTCTTCATAGATGTGTTTAAGCAATTAAAAGTAATTAAAAAATGCTATAATAGGTGGTTTGGGGAGGTTAAGATTCTTACATGTCTAAAAATTAATTTAAGACTTTGTATTTTCTTTTTATTCATATTTTTTGTTGCCAATTCTGTGTGTGTATTTTTATTTTTAGTTAACTGCTTGTGTTCATGCGTCAGCTGCATTGTTATATCCAATGTATTGGCAACACATTTACATCCCAGTGCTTCCTCCACATCTTCTGGACTACTGCTGGTAAGACAGCTAACCTATTATCGCCATTTCTGAGATTCTTACCTGTCTTGTAATTCTAAGTAACTGATGAAAACACTAAGTATTTATGTGACTAAATATACAGGATTCAGTTTATGAAAGCACTTAAGCCAATGCTTAAATGATGACTTGAATAGAGATATTTCAGCATGCCTGTACATGGTGTTTGAATTGGTACCTTGAGTTACAGTGCTGATTACTATCAATGCAGCATTTAGAATCATGTTTATAATAACTCTTCCTGTTTTATTGTTAGAAAATGCATTAAGTAATTTAAATGCAGCTGTGTTACCGTTTTCTTTTATTTGGCATTTATTTTAACTTGACATAAATGATACTGATAGAAGCATTCAGAAAAAAACTGATCAGTTTTTCTGGAATCAAACATTAGTAGGCATCAATGTTTCCCTTAGGTCTGTACAATGATTTAATATTTGTATTTTAGACTCAGCCAGGTTCAGAATCCTATCCAACACCTTCCTGAAAGACCTTAAAATCTCCTTTTGGTACTTCCAAAATTTTCATTATAAGAATTCTGCTTCTCCTGACGTGTTTCTGTTCACATGACAAACTTCGTGGTTTTGGCAAATTTTTAAGTTGAACAAGAATGAGTCACTTTTTGAGTCACTTCTGATCCTTCAAGGGATGGTGTTTCCACATGCCTGTGTTTTAAGATTTCAGGCTAAGAAGAGATGTACTTTCTTTTATTCATGGTAGTGCCAGAGATACCAGATGAGAGTTTCCATTAAAGCACCTAAACCAGGAGTATCCATCCCTGGAGACTTTCACTTTAACTAGACCCTATGGATCTGTGGTGGAAAAATGAACCATTTAAATCCATTTTAGAGATCAGGGTTTGTTTTTACATATAAAAACCGAGTCCAAGTCAGATGCCTATCAACATGAGTCTATGTTTCTGTTACTAATGTTTTTTTTCACAGAAATAAATTATGCTTGTATGTTTGCTGGACTTTGTTTTGTTTTTCTTCTGAAACCTATAAATATTGATGTTCCACTGAACTCCACCCGGTCTATTGAACTTCTTGTTTTCAAAGAAATTCTCATTACGTTTCCTTAAGTCTCTTTGATAGTTTTTCCTCAAGTTTACAATATTTGTCCATGGTATATCTTTTTCTGTGATAGTTCCTATACTTCATATGTATATTATTTATTGTTTTTAAAAAGAAATCAAATATTCTTTTCCCACTCCTCCCCTTACTTTCAACTATAGCTAAGCCTTTCATCTTTAATGATGATTTTCTTTTGAAGAAATTCTGTCCTAATTGTTTTTCCTCCTAGCTTTGATAAGTGCACTAAGATGGGGGGTAGAGCTTGGATGTATTTGTTTAGTTTTTGTATTACTTGAGCTTACCGCCGGAAGCTTTGTAATTTCTTCAGTATCATCCATTAATGCTGTTCTCAGAAGGTAGATCAACACCGTTACTCAAGCTGTACCCTGCAGAGTGCATTCTGAATACTGGAAGATTTTTTTATTTCCCCTCCTAAGCACAGATAATGTTTCCAGAAATAATAATGTTAGATTCTGTACACAGCTTCTTGTGATGATGATAATAGTTGAGATTCTAGGTCATTACGGCGTGACCTGAGAATTTTACTCATTAAAAAGAAGCATGGAGTTTCTTAAACTTGTAAAACTCATTTATATCCCTTTTTCTTTTTCACAGTACTACAATAGAGTGGGGGGAAAAAAGTTTCCCTTTTTTGGAGATGTTCAAATGGAAACATAAAGTTCATGAAAGGAAATGCACAATTGAGGAATTTACCACAGTAACTATAATTCTGACCTTTTAACTCAGATTTTCGTTTATTTACATTTCTCTGCTCATGTCTGGTTTGAATGGTTCTTTTGTGAGGCAGGTTAGAACAGTGTAATAAAACCACATAAAATACTTAGCTTTCCTCATGTTTTGGCATATTAAGAGTGAATAAATATTTTTCCTTATAGGTGTACGATATATCAAGTTAGAAAACCTTGGTGAATTTGTAAGGTCAAAGTTTATGCTAGGCCAGACCTAGTGTGCAGTCCAAGAGAGTTATGTCAATTTAAAATTCATAAAATAATTTTCTAATTCTTTTTTATATTTTTATTTTGATAGAGCAACGTTCTTTTTATAAAAGTGCCTTTTTTCCTTTTAGCTTAACATGCATTTTCATACCGACGAACTACATTGTCATTGCTTCACTTGGACTTTGTTGGGATGTTTCCCATGAACTCTCATTTTCTTAGGGTTGTTCTGAAATGGTATTCAAATAAATGAAGTAGGGGATTATCAGTTTGATAATTTTGTTCGTTCCAAGGGAGTAAGGCCATTTTTAAACAAAGATAAAATACATTTAAGTCTACTAGTTTAAATATAGGCCCTCATCCTGCAACTTTTCTTTGCATGTTAATCATCCAACGTATTTTGAGAGAAAGCCACAATTTTTTTTTATGATTTGGACTATATATCTTCAAAATTTCATAAAGATAAATGATATAATTCTGTGGGGGTTAGAGTTTGATAAATTGCATAAATTGCTCAGCTGGTACATTTTGTGGGCATGAAAAAAAAAAGGATCTTTGAGTAAAACAGATCTATATTAAAAAATTATTTAAATTCTTCCACTTGCCTTTTTATTCGAAAAGCCTTTAAGGTTCCATCAGGCAACCTGATATACAGACTGGTTTTAGACATAATGTTCTTGAAGTAGTCCAAACCCACCGGTACTGAGCATCAGTGTGGACTGCAATGCTGTCAGGATTGGTCAGGTTATGAGTACTTGCAAAGTCCAGCGTGTGAACATACGTATTTATTTACTTCAGGATGTTTTTCCCCCTACGTAGCTTATCTTGACCTTGAATTCCATTATGAGAACTCCAATGTGAGAATTTGAACAACCATCCAAAAAAGAAGAGATAATAAATTTCTTTTCTTAAAAGATAGAAAAATATTAAGCAGTGAAAGTAATTTTTGTTTTAGCTCTAGAGGAAGAAAACATAGCAGAGTTACTAAAAAATTTAATTTTCTGAATATTTTTTAAGACTTTATTTCTTTTCTACATTTAAGTAAGTAAAAAGATATTGTTGCACTCAGCCCAGTAGGTGGCTGGCTTTCAAGAAAGCTTTTACAAAAATTAATTTTGAGCATTGATATAGTAATTATATTTGAATAAAATTAATTTTTGTAAAGGAGAAAGCTAATTTAATCAAATTTCTGTGTAATTTCTTGGCAAACTAAGTCTGATAAAAGAATGTGTGACAGTTTTGTCTGTGGATGATAAAGCATCTGTTCTACTGATGCTCTGCTAAGAATATAATGCAATTAGAAAATTCAAGTTACAATTGCAACATGTCTTTTTATGAGATTTGGTCTCTTCTGAATTGGGATATACGCACGCCTGTTTTCGTGAGAATGGGACAATTATTTTCCAATTAACTTGCATGTTTTGCATAACATAGTAATTATTTTAGGCAATGATGCTGTAGATTAATAACATTTTTGGTAATAACATGCATAAGCAAGAGAGAAACTATATAGCAGCTCCCAATAGTATCATAGTAAGCAATTTCATGTACATATTACAAACCTCTGCTGTTAAGGCTTCAGAATCCAGCAGTAATAAAATTTGTTCTTTGCTGAAAATGATAAAATTGGCTTTCCATACCTGCAATTTTTATTTCATGCATTTTCAAGATGTGTTTGTCTAATTAGCTTTGTACCTTTATTCTGTTAACTTCTCAAAATTGAAATGATGTAGCTGTTGCTTTGTTCTATAGAAAAGAGCTACATGCTACCCTTTTTAATGACAGATTTATTACTGGAGCAAATCATCAGCTATTTTAAGTCAGTACAGGCCTTCTGGTGAAGCCGCTAGAACAGTGTCAGTGTACAAGAAACCAAGTGCGCATAAAATGCATACATGATATAGTGCTTGTTTTCACCGTAGTTTCTCCAGTTTGTGTTATTTGTAATGCTAAGATAACTCTGATGCAATGAACCTGACGATCTGTTTTGCTGTATATTCAGTTACGTGTCAGCCATAGTCATTCTCATTGGCTTGGTTAAATATGTTATGTAGTATAAAGCGTTCTTAGAATTAGAGAGTGTTTTAAAGCTGTCTGATTACTCACTGAATATAAATGCGTGTCTGCTCTGGAGGGACATCCATTTATGATTCCATGTTACTTGTGTTTAGTCCACAAAGGCATAAGGCCTTAGCCTGGATGAATTCGTCAGGAGGTACTAAAATTTTTCAGTGTTGGGCTAAGAAAAAGATGTGTGGGGAGTTAGGGGTCTCCATTTCCCCTTTTGGAAGCCCCATTGCCTAGAAAACTTAAGCCATGACAGTTTGCAGTCTCAGCAAACCTTTATTTTGATAGTATAAACATGACGAAAGCTTATTTTGGCGCCAGCCAGTCTGGGGTTTGGGTGGTTTTTTGTTTAGGTGGTGGGGTTTTTTTTTCCCTTCATCGATCCTCTCCCGTGGGACATTGTTAATGAGAGCAATGGGCTAATCTGTAGTGTGTACAGATTTTTCTAAAACTGGCTGCAGTCGCAGGCAGGTGAGAATTGCTACTCTTGCTCCCAGAGTTGGGACCAAATTGATGTGGCCACGTGAACTGATGCAGTGAAGCCTCTCCCCGCGCCTCAGGAAGTAAATCGCCAATCCGTTGGTGCCAGTAGCTCAGATCCATGATCAAATTAATACAATAGGAGAAATTATTTTATGTCAGCCATCTGTGTAACTTCATATAAGTCATCTTACCTTCCATTTATTTTTCAGAGATTATTTTTATTTAGTTTTTTTCTCTCTACTCCCTTAGTATTTCGTTTCCCACAGACTTGCTTAAACCAGCCTATCGATTGCTCACTTCTCTGGAGTGAATATTTTTAGTTATCTCGCAGTACCGAAAAGTGTGATGATCGTTAGATGTGTTTTCCCTTCAGCACTGCATACTGAGTATATTCTGTGTCAGATGTTGCTAGAACACATTCACTAGAGGAAGAAACAGAAGATTATAGGAAACCATGATAAATCAGCCTGACTAATTCAGTTTCTCGCTTGTGTGCTGCAGAAGGTCTCACTCCAGAGGCTTTGCGTGGATATTTGTTTTATTTTGAGAATATAGTTCCTTGTCTTATTCAAATTGGAAATGAGAAGTTTACTATCTTGAGTTAAAGAGGATATTATACAGCTTCTAAATGTCCACCAAGGAAGGGTTTCAGAAGCAGATTCGGAATCAAAACTGGCATTAATGATGTTTGTGTTGCAGTGCGGTGATGTTAACTGGTACCATATTCTCCAGAATGGTGTTTTAAAACCATTGTAGTTCTAGAGACACACCACTTTTGGAACATCTGCTAGGTTAGCTCTGCCATGCAGTAGGGCTGGTTATTGAAACTAGGTATGGCAAGCCGGTTAGCAAGCCTTACACATCTTCTTGCTCATACTTCTATAGTTAGGAACAGCGTCCTTTATTTTGTGGTCGTCTTTACTGCAGAGTAAAAAAAATAAAATAAAATTTCCCTTGTCTAATAAAAATTTCAGTAGCAACTGTGTAAATTTAATACAGGCTTAAACAGTGAATGTTAACTAGGGACTGTATGTGCCAAGATTTTAAGGTTTTTTGCTCCACAAATGTTGTAGTAGTTGGTACTTAAAACAGTAATTTGATCTTTTCCACTTTTTTCTTCAGTGCACCGATGCCTTATCTGATTGGTGTCCACTTAAGCTTAATAGAGGTAAGTTTACTATACGCTTCTGCGTACTGGTAGGCGTGAGGTGTGTGTGCCATAAATGATAAATTTAATGGAAATGCTTCAGAAAGGATCCCTGTTTTTTAGCATACAGAATTAGAAAATTTAGGCTTCAGATGCTTTACAAAGTGAAAAATATCCCTCTCTGAAATCTTACTTTTGAAGGGGTTTATGGAGACATGTAAGCTTTACATCATAATTTGTTTCTGTGTCTATTTAATAGCTCAATGGTAGCTTTTTTTTTTGCCTTTTTTAGTGGTTCAGCAACAGATTTTCCCAACAGTAAGAACAGTTAAAATTTATTTCGGAGTCGCCATCAACCAGAATTCAACATCATTCTGATTTCCCAGATAATTTATGTTCCTGTCCCTCTGAAAATCTGAGTCTAACATTCATTCCATAACATTCATAGCTATGAATTTAGAAATGAGTATTTTTTGCCAAAAACCAGGAGGTAGCCTTTTCAGATTTAAACATGCAACGAAACAATAGAAGTCACTGAAGCGGTAAGAAGTAGTTGGGTCATAAATAGCTTTGCCTCTTTCCATAATCATTTGATGACACCATTAAGCCTACATGTGTAGTCTGATTATCATGCAGAGTAGATAATTGATTTGGGAACTTTATTTGATTTACACTTCTGCTAAAGCAGTTTCTAAGGATCAATTCACGTTTGCTAAGCTGATGAGGTGGGTTCTCCCCCAGTTTGAGCCACTAGCGCTTTTGCGTTTCCAAAAAAGAGCCTTCTATCTTGTACACTTCTTAACTCTTCTGTTCTCTCAAATCAAAGTCTTATGATCTGCGTACATCGATTGTAATATCTTGACTAGGATCTTTCTCCTTATTCCATCAGAAAATAATGGAACAGAAAGGCTTGCTCTGAAAAAGAAGTTACTCAATTCCTTCTGGAATTATTTTCTGGACTGCACTGTTATGTATTATTGTAGGACCATATAGAAAAGAGTATAATTTTTTTCCTGAAAGGAACAAATTGTTTCATTCTTAGCTGCTAGTCAAGTCCATTGATGAAAGATTGTTTCATCCATTCTTCTGTAATACTAGTAGACATCACATGCCTGGGACTTACATAAATCTGCAAATAATTACTTAGTTTTCTCTGGTTTTCATCTGATTATATGATTAACATCCTATCTTTCACAAATATGAGAGAATGAAACGTTGTTATAAGATATGTATAGTTCCAATGTATTTAACTGTGTTTTGTGTAAATCTTGGTTTTCAAGAATTCATTTCTTGAATATGCTTGTATTTCAGAGATTATTAATATAACCTTACTGTTTAATGAAGAGGAAGTGTTTTTAAAAGCTACTTTGAATCCTGTGTGTAATTCACAAATCCTATATCTAAAGCTCAAAATGCTGTCTTTGCCATTATTGTCCTTTGTAAAATCATCATTTCTAATCTAGCGCATTATAATAAAAATGTACTTCAGGAGGATGCCATAGTAAAATACTTTTCCACTATTTTTTTTTCCTTGTAACAGAGAGTAAAAAATAGATCACTGGAGGATGTGGTTTTGCTAAATGTTGACACAAACACTCTAGAAACCCCTTTTAATGACCTGAACAACCTACCTGGTGAAGTGGTGAGTCTTACAGATATTTCATTCTTTCTTATATAGATGCTTGAATTACTAGTAGTTATTTTTGCCTGGTTTTGCTAACTGCTATGAAAGGAATAAGGGGGTGAAAAGCACAAAGTGTAGACCCCCTATATTTGAGATTTTTACCTTTTTGACAGCTGAGGAGATGTTGAATGGAACATCATATTCCTTATTGTAAAAGTAGCATCATAATTACAAAGCTAGCTGCATTCATTAGGCATAGCTGCTTTAAACGCAAGAGTCTCTTCATCTCATCTTAATCATTATATTACAAAGTAGGCATTTCTGTCTGCCTTGTGGCATGTCTTGCAAAAGAACGAGTTTTTGAAGGCAAAAAGAAGAAGGGGGCCAATTATCGGCTTCTGCTTCCCTGCCACCTGCCAGCGCTTTCCTTTTAATTAATGATCTGATGGCACTGGTCAATATAATAAGAAATGCTTGTACAGTTGGGGTCAGAAAATTCAGGCTTTGATCTTCTTCAACTTTCTGAAACATTTATTTGTTTTCTCTAAATTATTTCAGTTTTATTTTAAGCTCTTCTATCCTGCTGAGGGCTGTGTGAATGAAAACCTATACTGTTTGTCATTTGCTTTGGCAGAGCAAAGACTGCTTACTTAGAATTCTATTTGTAAATTAAACTGCAAACCCAGTTTGTCATAAAAGACATCTGATCCTTTTGAAATGACGAAAACTGTCTTTTGTCTGTAAAGGATGATAAATTAAGTGCCAGTTCTATCTGGACTTTGATCTTGCAGAGGGTGTCCCCCCACCACCCTTTTTTTTTTTTTTTTCTTATTGCCTATAGGGGAACATATTCTGTATATCATTTTAAATAGTCACGAAATTCACTTACCTTGTTTTTCCCAATAGAGCTTTAAAAGAATATCATTGTGAAACCACTGTTTTGATTATTTAGTTATAGATGCTCAAGCTATCACAAATGGTTGTCAGCACAAAGAATTTTATATCAAAATGTGAAATCAAAGAGTTACATTTTCTGAAATTGTAAATCAGAAAAACAAACTGTCTTAATCAAAGTAAGGCGCTGTAGTGACATACTATGTCTTTTGTTTTTGTTGGTAATTTGTATATATTTGGTACAATAGAAATCAAATTCTTGATGATTATATTAATGTCAGTTCTGTTTGATTTTAATGATGTTAAAATCTAGACTTTTTAGAGATCATCTGGTCAGTCTTTCTTTTGACTCGTGCTATCAACTATAGTTCAGAAATGTAAAAGACTATATAAAAATTACTCTGATGTTTTGTGGTTTTACTTTAGTGTATGAAAAAGTATACACACACACACACACACACATATATATAGTAATTTTGACTGTACTCTATCGTTCAAGAGTATAACAAGTTAAGTAAAAAATTAGTCATTTTCTGGTGTGTCAGTAATTTTAACTGACCTTGCATTCAGTGAGTAAGGCTGAGGTTATAATGTCGTGAAGATAACATACCTCTTGTCAAATAATAGCTAGATGTAGAATTGAGAATGAGGCATCGTCTTCCATAAGATACTGGAGTTGTAGCTGGAGGTCCTTCGAACAGTAAAAATGGATATTTGTGCAACGAGAGGGATTCTCATATGTTTTACAGATGCATATCAAAATGGTCTCTAAATGAGTAGGCTAGCATGAAGAAAACAGGGATACAGATCTTCATACTTTTAGAAGTATATTCTCCCCCAGGATATATGCATGTTACTATTATTAATGTTAATGAAGGTTATCCAAGTGTACAGACTATACAGTAGACTTAAAATATTTCATTCCATATCTAATATAGAACAAAAGAGAACAACTCTGTTTTATGCAAAATATACTTGCAGAATTTGAGGATTTTATAATGAAGCTTTTAATTTGAATATTCCCATCTTTTCCTCTACTTCAATCTGTAAAGCACTTTAATTGAAACAATTAAATGGAAAACATATACAGTTACAGTTGGAAAAGCTGGAAACAAAAGGCACAGACAACGTCCATGTTTGGCTCATAAAATGACAAAATGCTTGTCTGTCTTTTGCATTCATGAGGGGCAGTGCAACTGCTAACATCTCGGTTAAAAAGTATAAGACATAGAAGCGTAGAGTTAAAATGGTAAGTTAGACTTAAAACATTAAAGCAAATGTCAAAGATACATATGTGAAGCAGTCTAACCTATGTAAATAAACCTCATAAGCATACATACAAAGGTAGTAGAACTTCTGATGAAAAAATATAATGAGTACCTCTGAAGGGTGTTAAAATAGAGTGAAGAACTGAAAATATAAAAGAAGCTCTAGCCTTGCTATCCCTTTCAAAAATTGATTCCAGGTTGGTTAACAGCCTAACAAAAGAAATGCAGTCTTTTCAGAGAGTTTTCTAAAACTGTTTCTTGTGTCCGAAGGAAATTGAGTAATTATTTTCTTGATCGATAAGCCTGATGATGTCCTCTCAGCATAGGTATTTAATAGTTTACCCCTGTATAAGAAATATGTCTATTAAAATGCTCTGATTGTGATTTTTTTCGTGATAAATTTAAGATTGAAAAAACATTATTATATGGCATTGTCTAATAAACTGTATAATAAATTAACTGAGATTTAAAGGCATTTTTAAATCATTCACTTAAGCATTTAAATTATAGTTACAGGCTAGATGACTTTCTGTGCATGTGAACTTTATTATTCTGTCAGACTGACCAGTGGTCTTGACTGTGCAAAGGTCAGTGGTCACAGTTGTCCTGAATTACCAGTCCTTTTTTCATGTGGACCCTCTGCTGCGTTGCATGCTGTAATCTTCTTAATGGCTTCATTCCAATATTCACACATAATATTTTAGATTTATTGACTGCTAGAAATACTACCATGCCAGTAGCAGTTCCGCTACTCCTAAGGTATTTAAAATTGGAAAAATAAATCAGTGCAAGACTTTCAGGAATCCTTTGTTTTCTTAGAGGGGGGAAAAAACCCTCTTTTTCCTCTCTCTGACAAGAACACTTGTTTTTAAATTTCATCATTTGACTGTGAATTTGTCTATTATTTTTTAATTTAAAAAAAAAAAAGAAACTAAGTAGCTGCTTCTGTGTGAGTAAATTTCCTAATACAATAATAATTAGATCATCACTTTAATAATGTAAGATGTTAGACAAAGAACATTTGTAATGTATATAAATTAGCATAGACCATAGACACAAATTTATAAACTTTGGGCCTGATCCTGCAATACCTGCTTGGAGTTAACTCTGACAAAAAGACTACTGCTTTGCTCAAATTTGAACACTTACAAAAAAACCTTGGAGAATTGAGGGCATCACGTTTAGCAACCAAGTCTTACTGACTTCTCCATAGACTAAGCAGAACTTTTATAAATATCATCTTCAGAAAACAATAGGCTTTATAGGTTTTTAGCATCTTCTGTGGTGGTTAAATGTTGTTAACCATAAAATCTACAGAGCTGTTGAAAGATGCATAGCCTTTGTAGTGTGTGGTGCCTACACACTATGATGCAATACAGAATCTAAATGGGTTTTTAGAGTTTTAGTTTTGAGATTCCTAAGGTCACAGGAATTTAGCACCGTAAATTGGGCATATGAACATTACTGTTCTAAAAGTAGCATTTGAGAAGTAGGCTGTAATTCACGTAGAAAATTAAACAGTTACTTTATAAAACAATTACTGGGAGTGCAAATTATTTCTGAAAATACAATGATTAATAGTATTATAAAGAAGTTATGGTCAACGTGTAACAGTGCAACTAAAAAGATTTTTTGTAAAATTTGAATATCGTAATTTATTATGTTTTCCCACCAGAAAATAGCCAAAAAATATTACTAATATATTTTAGAAACCCAGAGCAGTCAGCAGTGTTTGCGGTGTTATGATGCAACTATTTATTTTGAATAAACTCTTAGAGTTGAGATTCTGTTGAACCTTGGTACAGTTTTAGAAGCTAGAACATGAGATTGAAAAGTACAACTAGTTTTGAAAGCATTTGCATTTAAGTAGTTGTTTTCGTCTAAACGAGTATTTGTGATTAAATGCTGGAGGGCTGTCTGAGATGCCAAAATCCTGTGTGTGTAGGTAATATCAAATGTGTAGAAGCCCGTTCATTAACAATATTGATTTAAATCATATCAGATTCCATTTTGTTGTGAGGTTTTTGTTTTGTTTCTTCTCTCTGCCATCTTCTCTCTCTTTCTTTCTGTTGAGAGTGGGCTTACTTTTGTAGTGACATAATCTGATGGGGAACACAAAAAAATAATTTAAAGCATAACAACTGTGACTGATACTAGAGAAATACTTGGATATCTTTTTTTCAGAGATCTGGTAGTCATTGGGAACCCCAGTGCATGGTTCTGCATTTCTCGGGCAACAAACGTTTTGAGTATTTCTATATGTGCCTAAATTTATATGCGTGCTTAAGTTCTTGCAGGAGCAAAGGCTTTAATTAATAGTTACATCATTTTATTAATTTATTTTTTAACTTTATGTGCAGTTCTATTCTTCTACTTACGTGAATATTCAAGAGATATTAGTCATGCTTTGTTTTTGATCAGGTAGTTAGTTATATTTTAGGAATCTTAGGACATAGGGTGACTATTTTAAAAAATAATGCTTTTTTTTTTAATGACCAACACAATATTTTTCTACATTGTAGATACACTTACTTATATATGAAAAAAAAATCACGTACCAATCTCATGACTTTCTAAATCTCTGAAAAACTATTCTATTGATTTAAACCTTCCCAAAGCTCTCATTGCTCTTCATTGGTGGTGTTTAGCAGTCCAATGAAGTCACCTTCCTATGAGAAGCCGTTGCTAGGAGAAGATAAAACCAGTTTGCTTCTAGTGTAAATTAATAGTACCATTTCTGAAATGGATCACTAGTGTCTTCCAGAAATAAATTTTAACAGCATTCTAACCCCTGTGGTTTGTTTGCAGTTCCTTATTTTTGAAGTCTGTAAAAGGCTATTTCTGCTTAAGACATGGAAAGAAGGGGAGAAAAAAGTTTGGCATTCTTAATCATAGATAGATGGATTAAAGCGAGGAAAAGATTTTCATAAAGATGCTGCTCGGTATTTTCTTGACTTGGTGCCAGAACTGTGTATTTTCTTTGAAATTTTAAGAGCTATTAATGATGTCACCCAAAGGGGTCTCACAATTCCTTGGTTTTAGGTTCATGGATCTAAGCAATCACAATCCTGCTGTGTGCACCAAGTCCTTCTAAGTAGTTCAAAGCACCCAGTCTCTTATCTGTACCTACTGTATTGACTGTAATAACTACTTTATCACGCTATCTTTGGTTAAACTGTGGAACTGGGAGAATTTGCTGGCAACCTTGGGTTTGCCATCACTTGGTGATGGGATAAACCCTGAGAAAGCACTGTCCCTCTGCATGTGTTTGCTGACCTCAGCTTGAAGGAAACCTCGGCAGGTCTCAAGCACGCGTCAAGAGTGCTTCAGCCAGGACTCCGGTTGTGACGATTGAGAAGTCAGGGTTGTGGCCCACATTATTTCTGCAGGCTTTTTCTTAAGAGCACTGTACTCCTAGTGCTTCTGCAGAATAATCTAATAGAGCTCTTCCTGCCTTTTAGCATAGCCTCCTGAGAGAAGCAGAAGTTGGAGGAACTTTCTTTGAACACTGGCATAGTCTTTGAGGCTAGAACTCCCTCCAGGATGGCAGCACAAAAAACGTGCATCTGACTTACACATTTTTGTGCTGGAGAACCCGCCTTCAAACTGCCTGCCCATTGGGATGTTCTTAAGATTGTTGAACTAATAATGTACCAATACTGCAGTGAAGCTGGAGATTTGTTGCTTTCTATTGTTCTTTTTAACACGTTTTTGCCTAAAGCATCCTGTTTATCAATTCTTGTTAGGGTACATAGGGCCTGCCAGAACTGAGAAAATCAGAAAACACCGTTTTCCTTCACATCCCCCACTTCGTCCTATAATTCCTCTGCTCTACATCATCTTTACCCCTTTTTTCTCTAACCCTGTCTTACCGTCTGCCATTATTTCCCCAAACTCACAAGGTATAATTCAGAAGAATGTAATTTAAAAGAATGTAGAGAATTTTCTACCTTTTCACTCCCTTATATTTAGAAGATGTTTTGTCTTTTAAGGTTGACAATTCTTTTTTTGACCTCATGTTATTGCTTTTGTTTTAGTGAAACTGAGGTAACGTTGATGGGCACATTTCCCTTATACAAAGGACTACACATTTATTTCCCATGGAATTAAATAAACCTGATTTTTAATAACTTTAAAATAATCATACAGTACAGAACAAAAAAAAACAAAAACAAAACACAAAACCAAAACATGCATTTATTTTTTCAACCTTGAACTGCTTAACTGGTTTTTGTACTGAGACTTGTGCTTTTTTTTTTTCTTTTGAGGAAAAAACATAAATGAGCCTTGGTGTATACTTTCCATGGGCTAAACGAATCAGGCTCTAAACTTTTATCTAGATCTATGAAGCTTGGATATAAATTGAAAAGATCACAGCTATGGGGAAAAGACCTATACTGTAAAGGCCTTTCTGCATAGATTATGAACATCATAACTCAATAATTTTTTTTCAAAACTATAGTTATAATTGGACCCAATGGGGGTCTCTCTCTTTGATCAGATCACAGTAACTGTGACTTTACACTGGAAAATGTCACTACTGTGAAGGTTTATCACCTGTAGAGCTGGTCTTTTCTCTGATGCCATGTTCGGTTCTCATTAGCATTATTCAAAGTTTAGTTGTTAATTAGGCTGACACTTCAATTACAATCATCATCTACAAGAGCAGTCAGGACTGCTTGCATAAAGAAACAAAAAGATACTAATTCCTGCATATATTTCTATAAGAATGGTGATAGTTTTGGTGATAGTTTGTGTTTAGAATGTTCTGTTTAAAAAGTAACTCTAAATGTTATTTTGTATAGTTTTTAGTGACTTAAATATTGCTTTATTGGGGATATTGCAATACAAAGGGATGTAGAAACGTGTATTCAACATAATTGGAGTTGACTGACTTCTCCAGATATCCCTTATGTTGAAAATTAGGAGACTATAGACTATACCTGGGTGTAAGTCTACATATCTTTAAAGAATACTGTAATAATTCCATAATTATATGGTTTTTGTCCAAAGTATCTCCAAGTAAGTGTCATCTTAATTAATATTTCTAATTTTTTTTCCAATTCTGTATAATTGGTGATTGCTGTTTGCCAAGTAAAAAAAGACCTCCTTATACAAAAAAGTCAAGCACTAAAATAAGAATGCTCTTTTTTTTTTTTTTTTTTCTTTTTAAAACTACAGGTGCCTCATGAGTATTATTCTTATTTCTAGGACAATTCTAAAGACAGTGTATCACTGACTTTACACAAACTTTTCTCAACTATTTGACGGTGGTAGCAGCTACTCCCATGGTACATGAGAAATGATGTAAGATAGTAATTTGACTTAAAAAAATGAAAATCCCTAAAACTGAATAGTAAGTGACCATTAAAAGTCCTTAAAAATAAACCTTCTTAGTATAAATTAAAAAAATCCAACTGTCTTCATTCAAAACAAGTAGGTACATGTTATGATTAATAGAAAAAAATCTGCAGAAAAGTGGCTCACGTGCAGTTTACTGTAAAATAATTAAGCTTCTTTATGTCAAGAGGCCTTGGGAAAAAAAGAGAGCATAAACCAATTTGCGTTAGCACTCTACCATCATCCCCTGCTTTCATTTCAATTAACAGACCAGCAGGTGCTCTTTGCAGTTAAAAAGATAAGCTATCAAGGAGGAGGATGAATTTTTGGCTGACCTGTAGACACCAGGGTTTGCCTGCTGATTGGGTTCATACCTCGCTGTACCAATTTCTGAGGTGTTAATTTAACTGTTCCACTCTGTCATGCAGGTCTCGGCCTTGAAAAATAAACTGAAAAAGCAGTCTACAGCTACGGGTGATGGAGTAGCCAAGGCCTTTCTTCGGGCACAAGCAGCACTGTTTGGATCCTACAGAGATGCACTAAGATACAAACCAGTAAGGCTTCTTTACTACTTTTTTTTTTCCGTAATTTATAAGAGCACAGTCTCATTCTTTGCAAGGAAAATATGAAATGTTTTATCCCAGTCTGAAACATTTCAAAGAAAATGTTTTAAATCTTACTCTATGCTAAGGATACGTTAGCAATTTAGAAGACACTACCACCTCCTGACGGTGAGTTGTACTGAAAAATAAATACTCATCCAAAGTTAGCTATTTTCTTATTTGTATCACTTTTATGATTTATTTAGTATAAAATCAGGTTGTATTAATGAAGCTACTTACGCACAGCTCGCCTGGTTTAACGTGGTGAAGAGCTGAAGAGGCTGTGCCTTTCAGATGCCATAATTTTTCCACTCTACCAGTCCAAAGACTTTGCTGTGTTTGAGGCTTTTTATTTCCTAGCGGAAGCCAGATGTGAATCAAACATGCATCTCTTCTATTATACAGTTATCTTGATTCCCCTGAGAAGTTAGGAGAAATGAAAACCCATTTCATCCCATCAGAACTTCAGAATTTTGCTGGTACTCAGTAGATTAGTGTGTTACCGGCTTTCATCCTTTCTGGTTTATGAGGGTGGCACATATTGAGCCTATTAGAGATAAAATCGTTTATCAGAAACAACTTAGAGATTCATTTCATCTGTCAGTGCAGATTCTTTTCCTATGATATTTGCAAACTACTGATAGTAGTTCCATTTGATAAAATGCATTGAGATGACATTGGCTGAATCAGATTCCAAGGATATGATGTTTGGTGGTCTGATGGATTCACAGAAATGTTGAGATTTGATAGGAGAAAATCATCCTTGCTTGAGGCGTCAAGTTTGTAAAACTGGTGGGTGTGTGGGTGCATGGGTGGATGTTTGTTTGGGGGTGAGGAGGGCGGTGTATTCTGTTGTTGCATAAGGAACTATGTGGTATTCCTTGATGGAAATGGATGGGATAGTTATTAATTCCAGATGAGGCCTTTTCCTGGAGGAAACATTAGAATACAGTATGGCAGGGTCTTTCTTCTACCCGAGTGGTTCTCTTACGGGTAGTCTTTTTTGCCGTGAGCGTTTTACACGCTAGCTGTCTGTGCCACTGACAACAATTGTTATTGAGATGAAAAGTAACCCATGCAGAAATGAAGTAATGTTTAGTTCAAGTATTTGTGTTTAGCAGTCTATATAATTTGCATACTACATTGGAACGACTGTACCTGTTTTCAAAATTGCTAGAGTTCAACACAGTACTAGTTTCATTAAAACAACTAATTCCAACAAAACAGATAGTTGTCATTTATTCCATAGTGGCATTACCTGACATTGCTTCAGGAGGGGTTATCTAATTTGTTCCTTAGTCTAAAGGTGAGGACACTGGTCTGTATCAACTCATGGCAGCTTGCAGTAAGAGCTGTTAAGTCAAAAAGTGTCTTAATCTACATTCGATATATGCAAACAGAATGATGTCAGTCTGGTTGACGTCCTTACCTCTGTTCTGACCAGAAATAGGCTCCAGTCAGTCCTTTGTTTTGGTAAGTTTGTTGAACTGAATGTGCAAGTTCTTTAGCATTCTGTTAGCATCTCTGTTGAAATGAACTCTCCTTTTAACTGATTTCCATTTTATTTCAGTTTATCTGTTGGCATGTCTGAGATATCTACATTTGCACTGTATTGGAAGTAGTGCACCATGCATCATTTCAACTGGCAAACATTTGTCAAAGTGACCTTTGCAGTCTTTCTTTCTGCATTATTTTCTTTTGCAGGGTTTTTTGTTGTTTTTTGTTGGGTTTTTTTTTTGGCTCCACTGATTGCATATAAGAGAAGATATTTATGAAACCACTGTGGCCTGATGGTTTGTTGTTTTTTGTTTTTTGGTTTTTTCAGATACGTTATTTCAGAATGTCTTAACAGGCAGAAGTCTGCTGGCAAATACCGGCATATCTTGGATTGGCATCAACTTGTACAAAGACAAAGCATATTTAAAAAAAAAAAAAGTGTAGCTGTTATTTTGAGCTGTGTTCACATTGTTTTAACTAATTTTAGTATTTTACAGAATTTTTGTTGTGATAGAAAAATTTATTAGAAGCTGAATTTGCTCTGGATTAGTAGAAACTAAGAGGAGTTGTCCCATGAGCCTTTTGAACTCAGTTTAATGCCTTGTGAATTGGGAAGTTCAAAAAATCAAATCACATTTGACTGTATTAGGACCATTTGTCAGGAGTCTCAAAACTTGTGAATTGTTATTGCAAAGAAAATACTACCCTTTGTTTTGGAGTCTCTGGTGCTAGATCTAATAAGGAAATCTAAACCACAGCTATGGGCTTCATTTACATTCTTTCAGGAGCTCACGTAGTATTCATGTGGAATATTTGTAGGGAGTATACTTAAATGAGAATATTTTCTATACAGATTTGAAATACTTTTGTCGTATTTTCAGAATCAAGAACTGAGAGGTTTTGAGTACCATTTTTAGGATTGCAGACATCCTGATGAAAAATAAAATAATGTGTTTGGATAGTTACTGATTGTAAGTTGCAAAATATGTTTAAGTGAACTATTTTCCTTGCAACAGTGTGTTCTGTATGATTTTAACTTGAAACATGAAACAACTGTCATTAATATTCACTTTGAGTAAAGAACAGCTTTGATAATGTCTGTACTCATCCAACACTTCTCTTCACTCCAAACGCTGTTCATCACACTGAACACTCATTCTGTGCAACTGTTTGTTTTCAGCATAGGACAGATTCTCCTCGGTATAGCAATATGTCTTGAACAAACGTCTAGCAATTATTGGAAAAAAAATGATTGGTGAAAGGGAAAATGGGAAGCTTCAGGGGTCTTAGAAGGGGTTCATGGGACTCCAAAAGACCATATGGAATATTTGACTATTCTAATACAGACAGGAAATATGACATGCAATAGGTAAAAGTGATCATATTTTTTTGTGTAATAAAAATCTTAATCCAGTAAAAGGTTGCAAGAAAAGTGGAAATAGTTGTTTTTTCTGATTTAATCAGGATACTGAATTAAAGAAATCAGTCAAATTGATACAACTGCCAAAAGTATTTTTGTAATATGCTACACTTTACATTAGCAAGTATTGCATAATAGGAGTGGATCTGTAGAGCAAAACATACAGTTGGTGCTAAGGACCTGACATCCACACAGTGTGCATTTCTAGCTTTATCGTGGTTCTTATTTTAGGTTCTTATTTTAGTCTGGTGTTGAATACTGAATACCCATGACTAGCTGGAGCTCATTTTCTGCTTTAGTTTAAATCCAGAAGGAATCTAGTTAATGCATGGTAGATGGGGATAATTGAAAAAATTCTTTATACGACCTTTTTTACTATCTTATCACTGTTCCAAAATTTTGATAGGGAAGAGAAAAAGAAAATAAAACAGATTTTTATCTTTATTTACTTCACTGTCATTTGATAAATGGCCAAAAAATGATCCAGAACAAAATTGTCATCAGTGGAATAGTGAATTAGAATGTTTTTGTGTATGGTCCCATTCAGGTAGAGGACTGCAGTCCATTTTGATAATGTGCATGGCTTTTAGTGGGGGGGTGTGGTGTGTCTCCAGCAGTGCAGACCTACAGCAGTGGCAATGAGGCCATTCAAACGGTTTTGCTATAAGGAGCCCTGGCATATAGAAGGGCAAGTGGTCAGTGCCTGGTTGTACTCACCCAGCTAGCAGCTGCGGTATGAGCCATCGCGTGATGTGCAACGTCAGCGATCACAAACGTCAGTTTTGATCACAAGAGTCTAACCCTGCTGAGGCATTGCAGTGATCAGTGTGTTGTGACGTAAGTGCTTCTTATACCATGTAAATGCATATACAAATCCAAATTATGTTTACTTTGGGTGGTCAGACCTTAGCCTTGAACCTTTTGTTGCTCCTATTTTCCTTAGGTAGTCCAGCATTTGGGAATTTATTGTGGAATAAGATTGCACATGTTGTTCCATGTTTCAGAATTGCATGCATAAGCGGGAGTTAGATACAAAGATTGCAAATGTGCAGTTTGTGTCATTTTGTCAATCAGTGTATGTGCAACATTGTGGTTTTTTCTGGCTATTTTCATTTTACACGTTCTTCATGGGTCATTTTTAGGTATCCTTCCTTATATCAGACAAGAGCCATGCCAGTCAAACATTTTAACAACTCTGTGGTGGCTAGGGAAAACAGGCCTTACACATGTGCTTGTGCAAACCTTGCAAATGAAAGCAAAGGCTTATACATTTTTTCCATTAATCATATAGATTATAGTCAGTTAATAAAACACTATATGATGTAAAGAATTTAAACAGGCAGTATTTCCACTGACAATCTATGTCTGGAGAGGGAAAGGTAGGTAAGACAATGAGGAAGGACCAGAAGAATACTGAGTATAGAAGTATTCACCATAATAGAGATTAATTTTAACATCATCAGGAAAATAAGCAAAGCAGAAAAGCTGTTTGCTCTTAGGCAGCAAACATCAGGAGGATATATAGGTGTGATTTTTAAATTTTTTTTTTTAAAGGTAATTCATCATGGCAAGACAAATACGTTTCAAACGTATTTCAAATAAACAAATCCTCTTACTTTATGACACATCTATTAAAAGATTATGGAATATAAGCAACGATAACTTATTTTCTACCTTTGAAAAATGGGCTTTTCTTCAAGAATTAGCTAACAAAAGATTAAGTTGTTGAAAAAAAATCACCTCTTTTGGGGAAAAAGTCCTCAAAGCTCTTGATGTTACAAAAAAGAAATAAACCCAGGATAACTTTGTTTTAAGTTATGATGGTTGTAACATCACTCATCAGAAATTAAGAAATGAAGAGCAAAGGCTAATGGCTTGCTCTGGAATGCTCAGCAGTAGGAGTTCGTGGTCTCATCAGCGCGCCAGGGGTGCTGAGATAACTTCCAGCTTGAAGATAGCACAACCTGTCAGACCTCACTTTAATTGAATGCTAACTGGAGTGCTTTGGGCCAATATTCACACTATTTTAAGTAGTGACATTGGCTCTCCAACAGATGCAGGTATTGTATTCAATATACAATAGAGCAAAATAATACAATTAAATGTTATGTTAGGAAAAAATAGGTATTTTAAGATTCAGAATGCACCTGGATTACTTGAGAATGCATAAGTAATGATTGCTTAAAATTGAGTTTCAAAATGAAACCTTTTCAAGTACAGGTATCTCTTGAAATGGGCATTGACTTGTTTACTTTTCCCCCAAGAGTTAGGAATAAAAAGTACAGCAGGGTACTGTACTTTCTCTGTAGTAATGAGAAAGAGTAATGAAATGCCAGAACATAGTTTGTGTTTAAATCCAGAACCACCCTGTGTAATATCTGTTACGACTATTTATTGTGACTTCCATAAGAATTTTATTTTACATGTTGAAAACCATATTGTTTAATTTGTCTTAAGGACCGTAGTAGTCCTTAATTGAATATAGATATTGTATTAATAGGTGTTGTTGTAGGTTTTAACTGTGACTATAAGAAATATCAGCATATCTGAATCTTTGGGTATATTGCAAGAAATTTGCGCATTTTGCAGAAATTTGTTTGTAATTTTAAATGGCACCTTCCTGAGTAGAATCATAGGTCATACTCAGTTATCCCCTGGCCTTTATCTCTGAATGCCATGACAACAGCTGAAATTTCAGCTTTGTACCTCCTTGATTTTAAACAGAGGAATTTTAATAGCAAAACCAAAATGGTGTTTAAAATTTTGGGTTTTTTTTAAAAAAATAAATTGTACAAAACTGAAGAAGCTATGCCCATACCTTATACTCTTCATGCAACAAGCGAGAGCTACTATATAAAATGGTATTAATTATAGCAATTGTGCAAATAGTTGGTATGAGTCATCTCATGCTAGAGATATGAATGTTTTCTGGAATAAAGAATTAAAATGTTTGTACTTCTTGTTCAAGTTAAATAGCACTAGATTTAGAAAGCACAAACATACCTTCTAATCTAGATTATTTTTCCTTTTAAAATGATCACGCTGTTTTAGCTCACTGTTTTCACTTTCCATTGAGGTCTGTATAAATAGCTTGCTTAAAATGTGAATGTAGCCTAGAGTAAGAAAAAAAAAAAGCAAACTATGAAAGGGGAAGAAAATTCTATAGCAACTGTTGTTAAAAGGACAGATATCTTGTTTGGGCATAGATTGTTTAGTCTGAGTATTAGCTGTCTACTTTTCAGTATAGAGTCCCCACTGGGTTTTGATCGAACTTGTTTTGAAAGTACATTGTAGATCAATACGACAGGGGCCATTTGATGGTCTCGTAGTTAAATATCAGCGGAGCATTCCTCCAAAACTCAGTTTCTAAAGGTACCCGGTTGTATTTGCAGATATGAGAATGTTATAAGCTTTATGTATGAAAACTTCTAGAGCTATTGTTGTTTATATTGATTCAGTAATTTATTTTTTAAATAGCACTTCAGAAGGCTTCGTGTTTACAGTAATAATCTTGAAGATTTGTAAAGGTTTTATTTGGAAAACAATTCCGTTGTTCAGAGCCTTGAACAAATAAAAGAGCTAGGAGTTAATTGTATTATTTAATGCAATTTCAGTAAAGTTTAAAGCAGATACCTTGAAAAAACTTCAGTGTAGAACTTCTGCAGGTTTCAACAGATTTTCTCACTTTCATGTGCTGAACAGGTAGGAGCTTTAACCCTACTCAAATTTTTAAAGCAACCTTGCTATCAGAAGGTTCAAATAACGTAGATGACTTTTGGATGTGAACTCTTTATAGATCTAAATAAATTTTCAGCTAAGGAATGTTTGGTTATTCTGTCTCTGAACTGTACTGATAAAGGAACAGATGCACCAATGCATGATTGCTTGCTAAATATCTGAAGCATCCAGTGATTAAAGGAAAGTATTTGGGAAACTATTACAGCCGTGTACTAAAGATGTGTGTTGAACTACCATTTCCTGGCGTTCTGTTACGTGGCTTGGGTGGGAGAAGTGCCGTCAAGTAAAACTATCTGACTGCTCTCTCTTCCCAGGCTGATGTGAAAGGGAGAGCAAGCACGCCTGTTTTCTCTTCTGCTGGGAGATGATCTCTCCTTTTTCATCTTTCCCAAGACAATTGGGAAAGTGGCAGTGGAGGCATAGCTTAGTTTTTATTTTTCTAAATAGTATATTTTGAAAATACTATTTTCTCTCTTTGGTCCTAAAGTTAACGTTTCATAGTAGGTCATGAACCATCATCTAGTCAGTTCTGCACTCCCACAAAGCCTCTGTATTTCCAGAAATCATTTCTTTGTCTAACAACAACAACAACAACAAAAATATATATATAAAAAAATAAGGAGTTATAATTTGCTGCCTTGCAATTTTTTGGAAGAACAACAGAACTGAGAAGAGAGTCTGCCCTCAGGAACACTGTGTCTTGTACCACCATATCTCACTGGAGACTATTTCATTTGTTTTGATGCACTTTGAATTTGCTAAGTAGCTTGGGGTCATCTTCTTAAGTCTTTAGGAGCTCAAGAATAGCTAATGTGAAGTGGGTCAGGAAGGCAGTGCTATTTAAAGTATCACAAACATTTCAAGCTATTTGGCAGATCCAGCATGTCCTGTACATGTACAGTGTTCACCAGTTATCCTGGGATAAGTAGTAGGTGGAAAAACTTGGGTGCCTCTCCTGGAGACTTGATTGACACAGTGCTACATATTGTGCTGAGATGGGTTTGCATGTCACAGCATTCCAGCTACCCTTTGAAAGGGGAAGGATTACATTAGGTGAATGTATAGCTTCTAGCTCTTCCAGTGAGATTTCTTTTCTAAAGAAGTAAGGATGTAAAACTTAAAAACAAGTTAAACATGAACTTAAGTACTTTGCTGAGTAGAATTGGACCCCTTAAAAGAGAGACTTAAAAAGAGGGAAGCTTTTGATAGTATAAGAATGGGATTTTAAAATGACATCACAGTGTTTTTACTGCAACATTTCCTTGGTTCATACTTGAACTGTTTAAAAACAAAGTGCAAGGTGTAAAGAGCAGTTGAAAATTACTTAGAGCTACCCCACCAAACTCACCTAGGTCACATGCAGAAAATAATTTGTGATATTCTGGAAGCACCTAACTGCACAGTCAGCCAGAATGATAGGAAAATGCGTGAAATAGCATGTGGGTTAAAGTTAAACAGGGTTAGGAGCAGAAAGCTATGGTGATCATGGTCATGAATAAATTTGTCTTTAAAGTGGCTAACGGAGCTATTGTGAAGATCAGTATAGCAGCTGTCTGATCTTTTTTCTTTTGAATGGCTGAGGTGTCATTTATTCTGTTGTGGGACTGCGCTGTATATGAAGCTTTTGGGTAGTAAAATATTTTATGGTAGATTTAGGTGTGGCATTTTGTTGGATTCCAAATTTTCTGTCTTTGAGACCTTTGGTAATTGTTTCTAACCTGGTACTTAGTTCGGTTTTGTAAACTTGGGTGAGAGGCCTTTGGGCTTTCTGATGAAATCAGTTCATGTACCTTGATCACTACACAAACTTTGTAATGTACCTATCCAGTTAAGTCAAACAGCTTCAAGAATTTATCACAGAGTATTGACAAGAATAACAGAATTGGAGAGAATGCTCATCAGAAATGTCCAGTGGTCTGTGCACACTGAAGACAGCAAATTTTAAATGAAATTAGGGAGTAACATAGGAGTCAATTTGAATGTTTATAGATAATCTCGTTAGCATCTTTTATTTTTAAATGAGTGCTGTTTTCAATAATAAATTTTTCAACAAACGCTTCATTTTCAATGAATACTTCTTTCATCATCGCAGTGTTTTGGTGCAGGGTTTTTGGTAACTATAGGCTATGCGCTTTTCCCATGTTGGGGAAATACATTTTATTGTATCAAACGTTAATCTCATCTATTCAGCCTTTCTCCATAACAATGTTCCAAAAAGTTTGTAGCTTTTGTTTTGTGTAAAAATAAAATAGATATGTATTTCAATAATTTCCTGTTAAATAAGCAGTATATTTATCAATCTTCTCATGTTTTGGTAGAATAAATACAAAAATAATTTGGTGCAGATACATGTTTTTGGACTGAATTAGAGTTTTGGTTTACTAGTCTTGCTGGTTTAGCATGCCAGGGAGCCAGAGTAATCCTGAACAATAATGCATGTTAAATTATTTGAAGCAGTGGACCTGTTCCTCCGCAAACTTTGAACCACTTCCTTGAAATTTTTAACGAAGAGTGCTATAAAGGTAACATGAACCAACTGTAAACCACTTACTTTTTCCTTGCGATGTGTATTTTGTAGACTGACTTCATAAACCAGAAGTTCAATTGCAACGTGTATTTTGAGAACTATTTAAATATTGTATGAAGATTTTGGTCTTTTTTGTGGTTGTCTACGTCTTTTTAATTGGATGCATGTTTATCAAGATTGCTTGAAAGGGAATGTTTGTATGTATCGACAATTAATAAATAAATTGTAATGGAGAATTTTAAATAAATCAGCATATTTGTATAGTCTAGTTACTATCTAACTTTTTCTGTTTAAATTTTTTAGGGAGAGCCTGTAACTTTCTGTGAGAATAGCTTTGTGAAGCATCGTTCCAGTACTACTAAGCAGTTCCTGGAAACTGCTGTTAATCTTCAACTGTTTAAACAGGTATGAGAGGGTAAATGACCCATGTTTAATGATTTTCTCTTAAAACATATCCATATTTAAATACATTTTCCTTTCTGTCAGCTTATGAAACTCTGGGATAAAATATAAGTACAAGTACTTTGTGTACAGTCAGTCATCCCAGTTTTGTTGTATTTTTAAATCTTCAGACATAGGTAAGAAAGGCGGGGGGGAGGAGGGGGCGAGGTAGAACTCAACAAAAAAATAACCCCAGGGTGCAGAGCCAGTGCAGCATCTCTTCAGAGCCAGTCAGCAACTCATCTAAACAAGAAAAATCATGGATCTCCCAGCTTGATGGTTGAACTTCATTTTCAGCTCTCTTGGCTCATGACCAAAGAACCTGAACAACGTAGTGCTTACTTAAATTGAACTTCAGTGGCGTTTTATTTAAAAACTGGATTCATACTGTAACTGCAGTTTTTATTGCTAGGCTTTTTGAAGTATGCACACAGAGAATGTTACAAGCCCAAGCCATAGGGGTGGCCTGAAGAATATTCTAGCCGATCTGTTAATACAGATTTTGAACTAATAGAGAACAAATTGTTGAATGTCTGGTACATCTCAGTAATAGTTTTATTACAGTCTTTGAAATGATTTTTTTTCTTTGATTTTATTCTGTAACTCTTTTTTTCCCCCTTTTCATCACATGACCCCATTGCATCAGGAAAGGAAAATCTGAATGAAATGAGGACATGCATAAAAGTATATATTTGCCTGCAAATATCTGGAATGATTGAGGCACGGGAGTTCATGTTTAAATAATCTGGTGGACTTCTTTGAAGATATACTACCATGATAGATAAGGGAAATTCATTATATGTAGAATCTTCTAATTTTCAAAAAACATTTGGTGTTAATCAGAGGCTAGCGTCTAAAGAAAAGATTTATGCAAGGATGATAGTTTGTAGAAGTCCTGTGAAAATATTTTTTTCCTAATTGCATAAAAGTTAAGGAAATACTGATCATAGAATTGGGCTCCTTTAATTTTACTGTGTTTTATTTTATACAATAACAAAATGTACATAAAAATATAAAATAATAAAGAAGAAATCTGAAACCTTTTGAAGTATCCAGCATATATGATTGAAATGGAAAGAAGTAATGGAGTAAACAGTGTTGTTTACATTTTGCATATCTCAGTGCGATAAGCTAGCATGAAACTTTGTAATAGAAAGCTGCCTACAACCAATGTTTCTAAATCGTTGTCACACTACTACTACTAAAGCAAGATCTTCAGCTGTAAGAAAAAGATTTAACTCCACTGAAATGAATGGGCTTGTCAGTGTGGCTCTGTACTTACCCATTACATTTTAATATGTGTTCAATTAAACAGAATTAGTTTACAGTTTGTTTATAGCCTGTTTTAATTTTATTTCAACTAAGGGAAATAATATATTTTAGAGGATTAGGAAATAGTAACAATTTTGATGATGTGTGTGGCTTAGTAGTAGTAGTAGGGTTTTTTGCATTCCTCTAGTTTTTGTTGCGAAGGTTACTCCTACTTTTTCAGCTAATCCTTAGCCCAGCTGCATCTTCTCCAGCTTTTCCCACTGACAAATGAGCTGTTTTCAAAGTTGTTTGTGTTCAAAAAGACTAAACTGTATTTTATTCTGTTCTGGAAAATCTTTTAAGCAGAAAATAGTTCTTAGAGGCAGCCTTAAGCCTAGACCAAGCAGAAAATAGGTACTTTAAATGCACCATTTTTGCCATAACTGACAAGTAAGTTTTATTTGTGCCACTTTATAAAATCCTTCTTCTGTCCTTTTTTCTTTGTAGGTTTTTAATCTTCTCCCCCTCTCTCCTACATTAAAACACGTTAATTCCTCTAATTTAACCACTCTCTTAATTTTGGAAGTTGTAGTATCTTTTCACCAAAGTACCTGGAAATCACTGTTGGAATAAATTGTGAAATTAATACTTTGTGTTACTCCCATTCAGAATATTTTTATCTTCAACATCATCTGATTTTACTTTGTATTGCATTTTGATGTGCTTTCTAGTAATGATACCCTCAAATGTATTAGTACATGCCAGTCTTCTGTACCAAAATCATTAACTAGCCTGTAAATAGGATCAGTCCCAACACTTACCCTTAAATATCATGACCGGTGACACTTCCAGCCTGACACTTTTTCTTTCATTACAAGCTGTTATCTCCTTTTTGGGCAAGTCCTCATCCAACCTAAGGTTCAGGTATACTGTTCAGGCACTCTGCTTTTTTTTCATCTAAACTAGTATTTTGAGGCACATGCAAGAGGCTTTTCTGTGTTATAAATTCCATTTCCTTTATATAGAAAACGAATTGTCAGAGAATCTGTGAGAACCAGTGTTTTGATAACTCGTATGTTATATCTTTCCATTTACTCATTTACCATTTTTCCCAAAAAAATCTATTTGTAAGCCTCATCAAATTGTTACGGGCAAACTGACAGACCAGCACTTACCACAGTCTTTGTTTTTTAAGTAATGGTACTGTTATTCTTCACTTCAATTGTGTCTCCTTTACCTTGATATATGTGCGGGTTTCCTTAGAATTGTATAACAGAGGTGAAACTAGGGTTTTTTTGACTTAAGTTTTATTCCTTAGGTATTATAACGTCAATTTCTGTATCTCATTTTCATTGATACCGTTATTTTTGTTCCTTTATTCAGCATCATAGTCTTTACTGAAAATTGAGACAGGGTATTTGGGGCGGGGACCATGCCTAAATTATCTTTTAGCCTCAAACCATTCTCTCGGACTTATAAATTATGGAGATGCCTTTTAAATCAGGTTGATGACTTCACGTTTTTGGAAGTTGAAAGGACTGTTTATATTGCTCTGAAACAGAATACACCAAACTGTTTATGCAAAACATACATTTTCCAGGAATTCATAGAAGTAATTTATGATATATACCCTGATATAGATCACAACTATAAGGACGTGTGAAGTTCAATTTGCTGGCTTTAGTTTTCAGAAGCTGTCTTCTGCCCTGAATAGATTTAATTTTAAAAACCCTGGTTATCATTATTCTTAAACTATTAGGATATTTAATTATATACAAATATTTTTCTTAAAAAGAAAATAACTATTACTTATATATTAAATATTCTTATTTCCTGATTTAATATTCTGTATATGACAGTGTTTCTTCAGATTGAATATTTGTTCTCTTAGACTGTATACTTATGTTGCTTCTTTTCTTACTGTTTTTTTTTCCGCATCTTTGATATTTGTATTATTATGTATGCTATCTGTTTGTTAGCTTTTCCTGAGCCTTAGAAAGGCTTCCCTTTAATTAGCGTAACATGGAAGGCAGCTAATCTTTATTTCAAGCTGCAAACATAAGGAATTAATAGTTGCATCTTATATGTCAAATAGTTCTGATGAGTGTCCAGGGAAAATATTAATTTATTCTTAGAACTAGCATGAATCCTAATGCTAGACTAGCTCGTTAAATAATGTAATTGTATAAGTAATGTAATCTGCAACATTTACTGGGATTTGTTCCTAAAATGGTGGAAAGTGCTGACTAGAAAAATAAATAATGAATGCAGTATTAGGACTTGAAGAATCATAAGCCTTTGAAAATTACTAGTAATTTCAAATTTAATTTACAAGCTTTGTGAGTTGAGCTCTCTTCTTGCAAGCTATTGAGCTGTTATTGTGTGGAAATCACATTTGTGATGTTTTCTTCGCTTCTACCAATTTTTTGTTTTTAATAATGGGTGAATTGACTTGGAAGTTTTACTCCTGCCTAAATAGATGCTTGGGTCTAGCTCACAAACATCATCCTCCTCCCCCACACTCCATCCTTTATCACCTGTGCAACAAGATCTTCTGGAGTGGATGTGGTCTATATTTCGTTTTTAGAATTCAAAATTATTTAAGGATTATGGTAGTTCTGTCTTTAGTCAGTTTAAAATCCAAGAGTAGCACTGGAATTACTTTTCATTGAAAGCAGTAGTCAACCAAGGGCACTCTGGATCTCAAAGTGAATGCGTTTCTTGAAACAGCAGGCCCAGATTTTTTGAGAGAGTGTGGATTTGAAAAAGGAGAAAACCATAAAGTGTATGTGTGATTCCACATGCTGTTCCTTTCATGTAGCAATTTAAGTGCAACCATTAACAGTAACTTACTCAAAAGTAATAACGACTACTACCACTACTAACACTTACCATTTCCTTTAAATAATGTCTCCAATATCGTTTTGCTAACAGTTCTGTTTGTCAGTATTTACATTAAATACTCAGTTGGAGTGATCCTCTAAAAACTAAAATTCAGCCTTCTGTTGATAGAATTTTACCAAATGATGAGTATGTCCATAAATCTTATGTTAGTTTATAGTATGGAATGAATTCATAACTTTCCCAAAAGAGATAACGTCTTACAGTTCAAAGGCTAGGGATGGGAGGGGGGGTTGTGGTTGGTTGGTTTTTTTTTTTCCACAGCAGTAGCTAAAGATGCTCTTATCTCTTTTTCTTGCTGTGAAATAATCCAGTGATCCCATAGTGGTGTGACCATGAACCAACCTATTTGGAAAAAAGCCAACTTGGAGTAAAATGAAAAAATAAGAAGGAATTTAGACAAGAAAGAGACAGAAATGGTTATCTTCATGCTTGCCTTATTCTTGCCGCCGGAATTTTTGTACTCTGAGAAAGTACTTTGTTTCATGTCGCTGGTCTGTTTGTTGACAAGCATCAGATTGTCACTGACACTGTTTGGATAATCTGTGGTAAAATATGATATAGCCGAATAACTAATTTTGGTTAGTTGCTATGTACTGTTTAATACCAGTGAATAACTCTTAATTCTTGTTAGAAGATGAACCATGTATAATTGGAAAAGTGCTTCCTCGCTTATCTCTCAGACTTGAGTTAGCCTTTTCAAAGCAAAAAGGGAGGTGTTGCTTCTTGAAAGAATTTTAAACCTTTAAGAATGTGCTCATTGTACTTATTTGAAGCCTTTTAATTCTTGAAAAGAATGTATTCATTCCTTCTGAAAGGTTTAATCATTAATTATCTTACTTTGACTTTTTCTGAGGTATTTGAATCATTTTGGGCTTTCTATATACACTTATATGTGGATGCAAATCCACGTGCTCATGCAGCTGTAACCTCTGCCTAAGGACAACTGTTGCAATATGCATCTGTAGATGCAACTAAGTAAGTGTTAGTGGTTAAAAAAAGAAAAGGGCAAACAGGTGTGGTAGAACTTAAAAATACAGTGGTGTCAACCCTGAACGGTGCTCAGTCAGGTGGAGAGGATTTTAGGGGTCTGCCTTGGCATCGTACCTCACTTTGTTGTGGGACTTCATGGATCACATTCCCATACACTTAAATGAAATGTCCTTCGAGCCAGTTTGCACACTGCAACTAGAATCCAACTTGCTGCTACCACCATTTCTTAAGCCAAGCCACAGCCACCTTCTGCTGTTTCTGTGTGGATGGTTTTGCTACAATTTCCCTTCCACACACTGTCCTTATAGGGTCATTTTTCCTGTAAAACACATACACTTTTGATGGACCTCAAGCAGACATCGTAGCCTATCGTTTCTTTGAACTGGGTGTGGTGAAATGTTTCCAGTTGTTCTAAAGCTACTTTCTATGCACAAGTTCTACTTCGGACCCATTGATGCATATGCAGAAAGGGATACCATAGGGAGGTTTGTTTATGTTCTTTTGTTGATGATACGAAGTAAACTTACGATTTCAAAACAGAACATCAGGGAGTGTCTCAGTGATTTTTATTTGATTATGATTACAAATCCAAATTTGTCATTTGTAAGGAAATTAATATATTTTCATGCCACTAGAAAAGCAAGAAAAGCTTGAAAGCTATTTAAAATATTTCTGAACAAACTGATGTGTAATTTCATTGAGTATAAAATTTTACAAATCTATTTGTAAATTTTGCACAATACATATAATTTACTTGATATGTATAAAATACTCTGATATTTCTGCTGCTCATAGTTGCAACTGCTCTTGCAAAATCCATCTAAAAGCAATATATTATCCATAAGCCACATGTTGTCTTGAACATCCATATTCTGTTATAATGTACGCACTGAAAACTATAACACTGTATAGCAATAGAAGGGCCAACAAAGTGTGACTTTTTTTTTTTTTCCCTTCAGTTTATTGATGGTCGGCTATCAAAATTAAATGCAGGAAGAGGATTCTCCGATGTTTTTGAAGAAGAAATCACAGCAGGAGGCTTTTGTGGAGGTACAGAATTAATTTGAGTGTACTTACTGATGATGCTTCTTTGGGAGCTATTCAACATGATGATCTTCTCAGGATGTCCTGTAAATTTTAGAAGTCATTAATCTTATTACTGCTTCATTGTATCCATTCATTCTTGGAAAGGTTTTAGCCTTCAACAAATCACTGCTGGGAAACATACTATTGTGTATCTAGTTATGTCAGTATATTAAATGAAGATACGTTGTTTTAATCCAGTAAAATAGTACTTAGATTTTAATATATGATGAAATATCACTATATTATTTACATTTTTAACTGCATGTTTACATAATGTGATACATTATATGTAAACGGTATTTTTAAAATAATTTTGAAATTTGTGCTGCTGAACTTTTTCTAGATAGTTATGTTTGCCAGAAACACTTCTAGCTTTTTTTACATCTAATTATTTCTGCAGTGCAGAAATCAGAGTGATTTCCTGAATTTTTAGAGAAATTTGCTTTCTCCAGCAAATACGTTACTCTAAAAAAGGGGGGAAAAAATTTAACATTTGTATCATCTCAGAAGGAACATTGAAAGTTTACCTTCTTCATAAATAAAACTATTATTCTTTGTGTTGTTTCCCTCAGTTATGTTCACTGACAATTGTTATAACACTTTTCACATTAACTAGCTTACAAAGTTAACCCATATAGAAAAGCGTGTGCTGAAGCCATTGCTGAATATTCCAGGATTGTTGATTGCTTTTCTGTTAGACATTTATTACAGCTATATTGTTATTTGAGGTATCATATTTGCTATCAAAATATTGGATCAAAATGTGCATGACAGCACAAATACAGTTTTATGGTCTTTAAAGTAGTGTAGAAGCTTTCTCAGTAAATGGAGGTTATGTGATTTGAACAAATCCACTGAGTTGCATATGGCAGCTTTAGACGGTCTTCCTTTGCAAGACTACCCTTAAATGGGCATATTTACAGAGGAGAGGATTTGGCCCCCACGGAGAAATCATCGAGTGGTGCAGAGCCATCTTCACCTTCTGTAAAATACCTTTTTTATGCTCAGAGTACATAAATTCTCGTGTTCAAGATTTTCACTACCTTCTCCTGCCCTCTGTGTCTTGTGCTGTGACCTAGCACATCATTTTTTTTTTTCCTTGATTAAAGTGTGGTTAGTTATGCAGAGATTTATGTCCTTTCTACCTTTTTAGGGTAACTTACGCTGCTCTGTAAACAGATTTTAGGCATTGAGCATCCATAATTCAGATAGGTGGTGTCAGTATTCAGAGTTCGTTCACTAACTGCAGTTAGGGGGTCAGGAGGCTGCAATAAAACTGCAATAGAAGTGAGATAAAGCTTGTTTCTTGGCTGCGTGCTGGCAGCCTGTGAACCATGTCTCACCTGGCTCTGCTCAGGAGGGAATGCTTGGCTTCGCTAGCAGTTCTCAGTTAGATTGCACTGCGTGCTTACTTTTCAAGTCAGGCAAGCTGTATATTGCCAGGTTGTGGACAAATTGCTTAGGGCACATATTCAGTATTTACATAACTGCTGTCTCATTATCGTTATGAAGTGCAGGGCTAACAATATGTATGCAATTGAAGGTGACATTTTGTGACGCTAATGGGGTAGAACTATGATCTCTTTGCGGGATGAACTCCCATCAACTTTATCAGGAAGCCCAAGGTTTTAAAAAAACAGGTGAAACTCAGCCTTCAGAAAAGTCACAGAAAGTTAGTGTAAGCTACAAGCTGTTAAAAGGACAGGTGAACATATTCTTAGCTATAGAGAATATAATTTAAAAATTACTGAATCAAATGGAAAGTGTTTCTTCAAGTAATCTCTTTTTTAATTTGCATTTTTCCACATATGTGAGCATCACTAAACCATCACAGAAAATTAAACTGGAAATTGGAGAATAAAACTTAGATTTCATTTTTTTTAATGATTTTTTTTTTCCCTGTAAAGTGGTCAAAACTTATTTCCCTGTGACTATATGTGAAAAGAAATTTGCCAGCCATCTTCATTACAGTTTGCACTTTATACTTAAAATTTTATTTTCTGTTACGTCTATTATTCTGTGCAAGTATTAGTTCTCAAGAGTTTTATGTAACTTTCAATACAAGAATATAGTGATGATTGATTGGCTTAGCACTTGGATTTCTTGTAGAATATATCCATTAAAGTAATCACATGAATTTTACTACAGCAGTAATTTTTTTTGAGTTGGTCTAATATCAATGGTGGTAGTATAAGGAAAACTGAAAAAGTGAAAACCTTTGAACCTCTCTTTTAATAATAATTTATTTTAAGGAGTCAGCATTTTCTAGCTAGAGTTTCAGGAGGCTCAACTCTAGCTGAGGGTATGCAGTGTTAATGTGGCCTTTTCTGTAGATGAGTATTTATTTCTCTTCTTTATTGCCTTCCCTGAAGTCTCTCTACACAACTAGAAGACAGTTAAACTTGGTGATTTTCTGTGATCTCGTTTACTGTCTCTAGTAATTGCTTAAGTCATAGGCTGTGACAGAGAGAGCTCGGATGTGGAAAGAGTCACTGTTAAGGACACCACAAGCCAGATGATATATGAAATTTTTTTTATAAGAATTTGAAGTTATGAAATGTCATGTTACAGAAAGTACTTATGGTTCATTGAATTTCATTAACACGCTAGCAGTGGTTAAATTTCACCATATTACATGTTATTTGCATGTTTTCTTGCCTGGTAGTTCCAGAGCCAGATCAAAGAAGTAAAAAATGAGTCATTTTTGCTTTAGGTTGCTCCTTGACGTTCTTACTGGAGATAGGATCATAACGATCATCAAGTTCTCTCCTTTCTAAGCGAGCATTGCTTTCACTTGTGCCGTCATTCCTGAGAGTTTGACTGTCTCAAAATTGCTTGTAAAGAATTTAGTGGAATGGGTGAAAGTGCCTGATACGAGTATAAACAGCTCCATTTTTTCACCTCATTGAGAAACTTGGGAATACCTTTTACAATGATCCACTTAGTTCTCAGCCATGTTCTAGGAGAATGTTTTGGCTTTCCACTAGCCAATGCAGTAATTCTACCCAGGCCTTAGTTAATTGATTATTGCAAAGCTTCAGAAGTTTTGAGAACTCCTGTTAAAAGTCTGTAACGTCAAGGATATATCAGTATGGTCTTTTCAAAATGGATAAACTCTCTGTTTGAAACTTCAGCGTTCTTGTCAACGTGAATGTCTTGTCTGGGGTTAGTAACAGCTCACAGTACCAGAGTATTCAAGTAACTGATGTACTCTAAAACTTTCTCAAGGACCCAATTTTTGGTGTTCAGCTGAAGCACTTCTGGGAAATAGTATTAATTTCTTCATCGAGCGCTCGGTAGAATTTAACCCTGTCCTTCATGGCCAGCTTAGTGGCACAATAGTCCTCGGTAGTCTTACAGAAGCCAGTAGCTCTCACTTTTAGAGGTTTTCCTTTGTGAAAGAAAATAGATACAGTTAATAATTTAAAAGGATTTTTCATGCACAGGAGTGTATAGTTGTGCCATAATCCTTAGACTTCTCTCTCGTTCTTTTTCCTTGGGATGGTACCATCTGCAGTCCATGTCATTTTTGTGCTTGAAAGTTTGCCCAGTGGGATCATTATGCTTGAATGCAGTTCATTATATATTATTCTTTTCTTCGAGTTGGTGTTTTTCTTTTTAGACTTTTTAGCAATATGTTACCCTGTTGTAGTTTTAATTTCTCTTTCTACCTCAGTTGGAATTAAAAACTATGTGTGGTGAAAACATATGCTTTTACAAAGAAAACAGAAAACATGAAATAAGAGATACCTAGGGTTTTTTCTTAGCGTACGCACATTCTTATCTTTACATTCCTTGTCTATCTGGGAAGAATGAAATTAATGAATAATCCTCTAAGGGAATTTTTTATGCAGATTGTGAAGAGGGTTGAAACATTTAGAATGTTGAATGTATGTTTCATTGTGTTACATTTTACATTTCTATTTCAGGAAATTCAAGACCTTATCAGCAGTGGATGCATACAGTGAAGGTATAAACTCGGTTAAGTAATTATACTGGCCATCTTGTTCTTTAAATCTTGTCCTTTTCCTTATATATATGTAATGATAAAAGTTCATTCATTTGCAAGGAAAATAGAAGTACATTCTATAATAAATAACATGGCTATGGTATATGCAATAAATTTGTGGGTTTTTTCTTGAAGATTTAAAAAAAAAAAAGTCCCATACACAAAACAAACACCAAAGCACGCAAGGTTTTTCTGTCTGTATAGTCAGGGATTTCACTGCTTTCTGTTTCATGTTACATTCCATAACTGTGAATTAGGTGTGACAATTTGATACGCAGTTTATCACTTCAAGTAAATAGCAATTTCATTAATATGGATTTGTGCAGTTTGGCTAGCAGAAGACCCTTGGCATAACCTTGTTTTACTGCAGGATTAGTAAAATATATTATTTTAGATTCAGATAGTTCTTGTGTGATTAAATGAGATAGTTCTTTCTGTGAGGTCAAAGTATTTTTAAGTTGCATCATAAATATGATAGGAACACATGAAAAATAGCAATAACTTCTGAATTGATTTTGAAATGGTAACAATGAATGAAGAATGAAAATACATCATTCTATTAGAATGCATTGATAAATATGTCAGCGATGATAATGACGTACTGCAACCCGTGTGTAGCTGCAGACAGCAGGTTGGGGAGGGGAAACAGCTGTGGTTATTCTTACCGATTTAAAAGGAAGATTGTTATTTCTTTACAGCACACTGTTTATTTTTCCTTGCTGTTGTCTTAAGGTTTGACTTAAATGTTACTAAAATACATTTTTTGTGTATTTCAGAAAGGCAGTGCACTGATCAACACAGCAATGACCAAAGCCACTCCGGCTGTGAAAACAGCATATAAATTTGTAAGATCATCTCTTCCAAAGAAATAATACATAAAAATACTGCAACTTCGTACAACCTCTCATTCTTCCTGAATACTTAAAAAACTTAATGAAATACTTAAGCATTTTAT